CCAAAATCTTTCCCTCTTTAAGTCCCTCAACTTTTGAAATATTCACATTAGGCCCCAAAACAATACTTCCCTCACAAGTTAGTCTTAATTTAATGCTAAAATTCCCAAAAATTTGGGATATTACAGCTTATCTTTTTTAATATACTACTGTTCACTTCAATTTTTTGAGATTCTTGAATAGATGATAGTCATCTTCAATATTACTTATTTTTAAAAAAAATTTATTATTTTATTTCTATAATATTTGCATTGATACTCATAAACTTTCTTATCTACAACAATTTCTTGGACGAAATCAAGCATCTAAGAGTATAATGAGTTGATATAAAAATGTACTCTTCTATTCAAAATATAAGAGGTCAGGTACTATTTTCCTAACATTTCTAAAATAAAAAATAATCTAATGTTAAAGAATAATAATGTTGTTTCTATGCCCACCTTGCTTCCGCATAATAAAATAAATGAGTTAGGATTTTACCTAAAAATCCTTTAGTCTAGCCTTCAGCCAAGCTAATGCTTCCTTCATCCAACCCTCAACATCAAACTCAAGCTACAATGGGTATTTGAAAAGGACAAATGACTTCACTGTTGCCTAAATTTCTTCAGGGATTCTTCTCATTGTATTTTAAGGCTTTCTACGAATATTTCTGGAATAAAAAAATATATTGATCTAATTTGCAGAGATTACATAATTCTAGGTTTTGTAGATTCCATACTACTATTCTACCAACTTTCCTTCTCTTGATTTCTTCCCAATTTTCTCCTAAAAATTCTTTTCTTATAGCTTATTCAAACCTAGTTATTATGTCTTGAAATGATTCATTTTCATTTTCATTTACTTCTTTTGAAGCAAGACTTCCACTTATGATAGTATTACTTTCTTCTTCATTTAGACTTGCAAACCAGTCATGAAGTATTCCTCTAAAGGTGACTTTAATAAATCTAACTACTTGTAAAGCATTCTAGTTTCTATTCGCTATGGCTATCTAGGCGGCTTGAGCCCAGTCACTAATGACTTTTTCTAGATCAGTAACACAGTCTAGATATGGCCAAATGCCATTGGTATTGATCATTTGTTCTTTGACTCTAACTGGAGTTTCAAGTCTAGATTAATTTCCAAATTTCTTTCTATCATATAATATATCATGTATATGATTTCTATTTCTTCTATAACTTTGACTAATGCTAGATTCTACTCCTTGTTGTACTTGGAATTTTGTCAAAGTTATATTAGGAGATTTTTCATCCTTTTCTTCTTCACTCTCCTCTTCAATTTCCTTTCCTTCTCTTTGAGTATTCATTTTCATATTTTCTAGTTGTTTAGTAGTTATTATAATCTGTTTGCATAGATTATCCAATTCTTCTACATTTTCTTCTTCTAAGAATCTTTGTTCTAATTCTTTCAATTTTTCTTCTTGAGTTTTTCACATAAAAAGTGTTATTTCTTTTGATTTAGGTTTTTTTATGAAAATCTTTGGGATTATTTTAAATCCTTCATTTCTATCTAAAATATTTCATCTACTGCAGACTAATATTATAGTAACTTGTAAATCCTTAAGTTGAGTTTGGATCTTGTAGAAATTCTTATCTATATCACTTTTTAGTTGAGGGATTATTCTATTATACATCTTAAGTTTTTATAGCAAAATTTTCAACAATAGCTTTTAAGAACTTGAAAATTTCTTCTATTTTGATTTCTATCTTTCTAACTCGAGATATTAGAGTCTTTGAGTCTTTGATAGACCCCATTTCTTCTTTTATTTCTTTCAAATCTCTATAATTTTTAATATCATTTATTCTTTCTTTAATAGAATCAAACTCTTGGGAAAGGGGTTTTCCTATTTCTTTAATTCTTCTTAAAGTATTTTCATTAATTGTTTCTATTTTTAACATCTTATCAATAATAATTGTATCTTCAATATCAATTACACTTTTACCCAATGTATTAAGTAAATAGAAGTTAATCTAGTTTATTTGTTCATTACTCATGTTGATAGAAGTATATTAATAGTATTTCTTAGTGTATTTATTCTTTCATTCTTTATTCTTATTTGATAGTTAAGTGTTTCAACTTTTACTCTATCTTTAAGACTTACTTCTGAAGCTTCTCATTCTAAACTTGCTAAGTTTCTCTTTTCAAACTAAGTTAGTTGATCAATTTCATTACAAATTCTAACTAATCTATCTCTATAAAGTATTTTTTTATTTAGGTTAAATACCTTTTTTGGTCCCTCTACTATAGGAAAAAGCCCCTTTTTAGTCCCTGTATCGAAAAAATCCCCTTTTTGGTCCTTAAATTTTAAAATCCGGCCCCTTTTTAGTCCTTCCGTTAAATTTTGTCTGAGGTGGCAAGTTAATTAACAGAAAATTTTATTTTATTTTTTACTTAGATTACGTGGAAAATCCACCTCACAAAAGTCGATGACAGGCGTAACTTTTTTTACGTTTAATTACTTAAATACCCTTATCTTCTTCTCGATCCTTTCCTTTCTCCGATTTTTTTTTTCTTTTTATTTTTTCTTTTACCTCCAGGCAAACCCAGGAGCTAGGTTCTGAACCCAAGCGCCTGGGTTCATCGTGGGTTCCTGGGTTCGTCTCCTCCCATCTTCTTCCCCATCCTTTCCTTTCTCCGGTGATAAAAATTGTCAACAATTTCACCTGCACCTCTCTTCTCTTTAGTGCTTTCCATCTAGACTACGTCTCCTCCCAAGCAACAATTATCATTCCTGCAAAAACAAAATCAACAAAACCCATAGCCTGTCGAAGCTCCGAAACACATTCCAAAACCACCTCTAGTCCACAAACCCCAGAACTTGAGGGCACAAATGGCATCCCCTTGTAATCATCGATGCGATTATCCAGAATTTTGTTTAATTCCATCGCCATGTGGTTGTATATATAGCAAATGCATTCTGGCATGAAGCGGAGGTTTGCAGATTCTCCCCAAGAACCCACGACGAACCCAAGAGACTAAGTTCGCGATGAACCCAGCTTGTGGGTTTACGACAAACCCAGGCACCTGGGTTCATCGCGAACCTAGGAACCCACGACGAACCCAGAAGCCTGGGTTCGCGATGAATCCAACTGGTGGGTTCGCGACGAACCCAGGCGCCTGGGTTCATCGCGAACCCAAGAGCCCATGACAAACCAAAGCGCCTGGGTACGCGACGA